CTATATTTCCCAAACAACAAAAAAGCATATGCAAGACAAAACACAATCACAACCTCCTGTAAGTGTAATCATCACAAAACACACTTAATTTTGGACATACAAATTTGTTATAGTTGTCCAAATGTCCTCCTGCATAATACAATTTGTGCTTCACAAGGTAAGAATTGTTCTGCAACAAACCATAAAACTAGAGCTTCATATAACACTCTTAAAAAATTTTAAGAAATCCATTCAAACACAAGGAGTCTAAGAGCAAGAAGTGCACACGAATGTGAAGTGCAATTTTCCACAAATTTTGTTCTCAATGAAAATAATGTTCGGTCCCACTAAAGTCGGACTGTGCATCAGCAGAACGTAATCCTTATCTCATGCCTTCTAGAAAACATTAATCCTTCTTTGACTATAATTCTCCATCACCTTTATCCTCATCCAAATCACCCATCTATCACGGTTCGATTCAAACTCAAATAGAACAATTTTAATATAACACAAATACTTTGCATGATAATGATAGGGATTAGGGTGGTTGGGTCTTTCTGGAACTATCACCAACGTTTATAAATACACGACCAAAGTTTATTATTGAGTTACGTTTTACATTATTTTCAATTCATAGTTTCACGCATAAATTCTCTCTCTAATTGGAGCGGCGACAAGGATACACCTCAATGTTTTTATTTCAGGTACCGAGAGATCTCGTTCGTTATCAATCTCAATCATCAATTTTGAAAATCAATATGTACGATTTTAATTTGGTAGCATCAAATATCAATATCATTTCCATTTTGTTTCTTGATTTTCTTTTGCTTATTTTACATAGTTCTGTGAACTATATATTACTATATTTGTGTTGATTTTGCTTTCATTATTCAACATTTTTGTTATCTTCTTTTGATGTACGAACTTGTGGTTGTGGGTGGGTTCCTAGACCCCCATCCCAATCTTGTTTAGTTCAACGTAGAAGAAGCCCTAATTACTGCCTATTATAATAGAAAAAGAAGCTTTAATCTTCTTTCCTTTGCAAGTCAGCACCACATCTTACTACTTGAACGTGTATCTTTCTAGAATTGTAAGTAAAATGAGAGGAAGAAGAAGAAGCTCCAAATTAAAACATAAGGTTTAAAGTGAGTACAATTTACTTTATAAATATGAATTTTCTCATTGCATCATTTTTTAATCTGATTGTCGCTTGCTCTTTGCTAGATTCTCGATTGCTTACACTCGATTTCACGTCGTTGGGTTACACACAACATTTAGCATTTATCAGGGACTCTGCATGCTGTCACTATTTTTTATTTTTTATTATTATTATTTTTATTTTTTTGATGTATTCATAATAGTTTATATTGAAATAAATTGTCAAATTATTGTTGTATTGTCGACTTACTATTGAATTGTTGTTGTCTTGTCGACTTATCATTGGATAACTTGAATTGTTGTTGCTTTCTCGCCTTATTTTGAATATTGTTACGCTTCTAGCTTTTTAATACACATCTAGATTATTGTAGTGTTAAATTCTTGACGTATTCGGCTATAGAAAAAAGGAATATGCGCAACGGATGGAAAATTATCTCATTACCTAGTAAGGCATCATTGAATTCGGCATTGACGGAAAATTATAATAAATTCTTTATTGACATCCGTTTCATGTGCACGATTGAAGAGTCAACAGTCATTTTACTCGACATGAAAGTCAGCAAAGATAGTGAAGTATTATCGCTTGGATGATGAAATTATGGATATGTTTCAAAAGGACACGCCCACAAGTTTATCCCCTTTGAGACATCCAATATGACATTGACCTTGTTCCTAGTGTAGCACTTCCTCATCGACCTCACTACTACATAAGTCCAACGGAACATGAAGAATTGAGAAAACGTGTTAAGGCTTTACACGCTAAAGGGCATACTCATGAAAGTTTGAGTCCGTGAGCAGTGCCTTCTTTACTAGCACCAAAGAAAGATAGTATTTAGTGCATGTGCGTAGATAGATAGGTGAACCATAAGTAAAATTACAATCTGACTATGTTTTTCCAGTTCCTTTAATAGATAATAGTTTGGATGGATAAAGCGAGGCGTTAATATTTCTCAGTGTTCTAAAAACTATAAAATGTGGTTAGGCGTGGAGGTCATCAAGCTTCAAACTTTATTAGCATAGGCGAGGTACATGCGTAATAAAAGGTTACCTATTTCTATTATAATTATAATTACTTAATTATTTTAAAAATTATTTAATAATTAAAATAATACATATCAAACATTTAATATTATAAAATATTATATTTACTTAATAATTCATATAATTAGTCAATTATACAATTTTCAAAGTTTTAAAATGCAAAAATTAAACTATTTTTCGTGGTTTTAACTTTCAGCTAGACAAGTCCTACTTAAAAGATTTATAAAAATTTCATACATATTTTCTAAATTTTCAGCAAAATCATAATTACATAATATAAATAGCATCGTAGCTTAAATTTTATCTAAATCTTTTCGAATAAAGTTATTTTTCATGTTTGTACAGATAAAATCATTTAAAAATTTAAAATTAAAGTCAAATAAAAAAATTTGGGGAAGCGAAAAAAATTTTTAAATGGATAATTAGCACATATCAGTCTTACCTTTCAATGTTATTATGGAAAACGTCCTTATCTTTCTTTTCTTTTCTTTT